CAAGCATTCCAGAGCTTTCATTAATATTACAGCTATTTTCCTCCTTTGCATTTTCACCTAACTGACAATTGAGTATTGCACGGCTTATTTTAATTAAGTCTATTGTTATCGTTCTAAAGTCTATTCTTCATTTTCGGGAAGCACACTGTAACATTGGGTTCGATAAGTCCTATACAAATAAACTTTATTATTGTCATTGTTGTTGGTGGCTAAGGTGATTGACTTTTTGACTGTAGCAATGTAACAAAATACCTGAATTTCATTTGCAATTTCTACATATTGGCTAGTGGCTGCTGCTCAGGAGGCTGAGCAGGTCATCTACTAAGAGGAAGGTTGGTGGTTTGATTCTTGGCTGCTCCAGTCCGCATGCCAAATCGTGCCTTAGCCAAGATGCTAACCCCAAGTTCCGCTCCAATGCATCCAGCAGAGTGTGAGTGTTGGATAGAAAACACTTAAAAAACATAGAATAAAGTGTTTGTATGAATTTGTGTGAATGTTGGCAAGCGGTATAAATTGCTTTGAGTGCTCAGGCAGAGTAGAAAAGCCCTACATAAGAACCAGTCCATTGGCAATGTAAGTGTTTCTGCATAAATAATTTGTTGATGCCTGTTTGCAGTGAACTGTTGTTATGTAATGCTGGGCCTCTTCTGTACTGTGTAGCAAATTTCTGGAAAAATGCTGTGATTGAGCCACTGATTTTTTTTTAAAGCCCATTTAATAATTTCAAACGCTTTTTTTTTTTTTTTTTAATCTAAGAGTGAGGTCCCCTTTTGTTTGCGCAGATGTGGATGACGCAGTTCACTGTCCTGCCAACAGTTATCACGTTTTTCAAGGAGTGATGGTAACACCAGAGATATGCTGTAATGCGAGGCAGGTAACGAGGAGAATGCTAGCCAGTAAAAAACTGACGCAAAAATATTGAATTAAACATACCCTGAAAAATCTTTATTGGGGAGGAAAACACGACTGTTAAAGCTCAAGAATAAATAAACATGCTGTCATAATCTGACGCATACGTCTATGTTTTTGTGATTGTATGCATCTACTTTTGTTTTTTGTTGTGAGTTTTATACAATAAGTGGTACTTAATGTCTGTTCAGTATGTTACATGGCTCTGTTAATGTTGATCAGTGCTATCAACCTGCCATGGATTGCAGAGGAAAATTAGCTTATACAGCTAAATCTGGCATATTTACATTAAATGGCTCTCACGCTCATGTTTACAATAGTGCAATGTCCCTTTTGGATAAATTTAAATATATGAGTGATGGTGAGTTACAGTGACAGTAAACAAAATATCTGTTTACAATAAAATTTTAAACTGTCATTTGAGAAAACTACAAAAACAATTCGACACTTATTTATTCTGGTGGCTTATCATGTAGATTTTGGTGGTGAAACTTCTAAGATGTGAAAAACAATTAGGTAAATTAATATTATTTTCCCTGTTTAAACACACCAGTAACTTAACCTTAGCAAAATAAATGACTAGTCATTGACCTGCTTAATCACTATTATCTAGTGCAGCATTAAGTATAAATTCTCTAAGATGCATCTTTACTGGTTCTGTTTCACTCATTAATCAATAGTAGCAGAGCTGTCATGTAACAATTTGGGGTCAGTGCATTGCCCAAGGAAACGTAGCACGGGATCAAACAACCAACCCTGCATTTAATGGACAACCTGCTCTATCACCTGAGCCACAGCCATCACACGGTCAGTTTTCTTCAGTGGAATACCCAGCCATAGATAGAATCACAAACAAACTACTATTTATTTCCACATCTCAGCTGTGGTGGGCAACAAATCCTGGGTCATTTTTTGCACCTACCCAACTGTTCTTATAAGCAAACTGCTCCTTAAATTACTAGATCCACCATTTAAATACACAATAAATTATTACTAAATGAAGTGCAAGATTAAATCATTACTACAATTTTTAGAAACTAGGTCACATCTGCCTGTGTTGTTAGTGAAGGCTTAGGTGAAATTTCCAGGTGAAACCTCAGAAGAAGGTCAGGGAAACAGGACAAACCTGCCCAAACAATCAGTATTTGGGTAAAATATCCTGATCTGTTTAGCCCCATTACCATGTGAGAGCTACACTGAAATACTAGAAATTCCTCATCTTTTTCAGAGGGATTCCTATGAAACCCTCTTACTTTGTCAAGAAAATGATGGCATTACTTTAAACATAGGTTTGAATTGGAGTTATTGGGTAGCCTTTTGATCACTTTAACTGTAGACGGGGATTCAACAGTCAGTCAAACATTATCGAAATGTTAAAAGGGATGTGACAGATTTCTTGACTCTCGAAGAGTTTCTAATGTTGCAGAAGTTAGGATTTTCAAACTGGGGACTTTAATGGGACACCAGTTAAAATACAAAAGGAACAAACACCAGGTCTAATTTCTTCATGAACAGTCTGATATGTTACATTATATCAACAATATTACAATATTAGAATGTTATCAGAACGACACAGATGTGCCTTTTTCCTATGGAGTCATAAACCTCCATAAAAAAATACCACCAGAAGACAAAATGTTCTTTAAATAAACCAGCCTTCCCATTACATGATGTAATCACACAGTGGCCCAGTGTTTTATAGATACTGGTGCTTATTTTCCTCCCAAACCAACAAATTAACATTGTCAGGGCAGGGTAAGGTGGTCCTTTAAGGGAGAAATCCCAACATATAGTTGGAGGATTTGTGTACAGACTGTACTGCCTATAACGCAGGCCGATTGATGTTTATCCCACCTTAACTTTTTCGCGTGGGTGTTCAATGGTCGTGCTTGTGTCTGAGGCGAACTGGCATATGACATAACATCTAATGAGTCCGTCTGCCATCATTTTACAATTCACTTATCTGGTAATAACAATACTCACCCTCAGAGCTGCGAGGTCTATGTCATCCAGGCTTCTTGTGGGGGCGTTTTCAGACATAGCTGGCGAAACTTATCACGCTGGCTAATAAGTTAGCCACTAATTTGACAAGAAGTGCTTAAGGGGGATTTAAGCGGCCGATCACGCGAGGTTATAACGGCCTAAACCCAGGGGAAATACAGCAAAGTGGCGGTCCAACACGCAGGAGCTGTAGCACTTAGATTAGCAAATGCATCGCAGAGAGCGGACAGACGCACCCAGCTGGCTAGCTCACGTCAACTCTGACCGAAAGCTGTAAATGTTATTCGCACTTGTTTTACATTAATGCCGCCTGCGGCAGCTAATCAAATCGCATGCAACTTAAAAAGTAGGATTTTTTTAGACAGGCTGTCAACGTTGCTGTTAGCCGCCCATTTGATATCGATCTAATAACTGGCAGGTTTCAAATGCAGAGCACCTCCGCTGTTGTTAAACACCTTGCTGCGTTCATTTTGACAAGACGCCGCTTCTCCCCTGCTCTCCAACATCCCAGCTAATCTCACATATGATACACCGATGCGTGTCACCGAGGGGGGAGAAGAAGAAGAAAAACAACTACCAGACAGGTGTTGTGTGCTACTGAAACATTCCTACTTACACTGATAAAGTATGCTATTTTTTTATTATTATTTACGGTTTAGCAGCGCAGTGATTGTTTTACTAAGAACGCAACGTCTGATGTGATGGCGTCCCCGGGTCCGTCCGCACCGCACCAGAACCGACCGTCAGGCTCTCACTGCTGGCCTTAAACCTCCCGGGATTTTGTCACAGATTGGGAGCGTGGGGAGGAAAAAAATGGGGAAAAAAGGGCCTCGTTTCAAATGCGATTCCCTGCGGCTGCAGTTGGCAAACTTGTTAACGCGAGTTAAATTCGCCCCCCGGGTTTCGTCCAGAGCGCACAAATAATCCGAATACCGAGTCAGGTGTGTGCGGTTAATCTAACGTTTAACTGGCCGGCTGGCTAACGCAGCTAGGCTAGCGAGCTAAATTGTCTTTTCCAGAATAAACTTTCCCTTTCCTTCTTCATCCATTTTCTGTGTTGACAGTCGCGCCTAGCACTGCCAACCTTCCGGGGGAAAACACGGGCAGACGAGCAGGCACTGTGTTATCGGCAGCCACCGTAATACTTGTAAGCCTGAGCACTCGACGCTTCAAAGTTGAGCGCTGCCGTCGATCTCCGGCGTCCAGATTTTATGAACTTGCAGTCATAGTCCGCCACTGCTAGAATCGGTGCAGTTTCTAACTGCGGTATAGCCGCCAAACTTGTTATTTCGCCATGTTTTGCTTCCCAAGTCCACTCCTCCCTCCCACTCGCAGCCTAGATGTAGTCTTGTTGGGTTTGTACTGACGATTGGCTGCACGCAACACTCCTGAAGTGTTTTCTCTTCTCGACTGGCTACGGTGCTTCATCAGGGACAAATTACCCGAAATTACAGTGGACTTCAGCCTACGCAGCTGCCTCTGTCTTGTTTGAGCTGCACAGCTAAGATCATCCCTAGGCATACCTGTCCTGCTCTGGCCTTCTGGGTCACTGGATACACGTTTAAGGCTAAAATACTGCTGAATAAACAATGCAGATTTTGGTAATAAGTGCCACATCTAACAAATATTCTCCTCGTCTTGGTTTTATGTGTGCGTCATCCAGCAGATTGGAGATTGTTATAGTCAGTTTTCCATTAGAGCAAGCTCACCTTTATAGTGCTTGTCAATACTGCATGAATCAGTTCCAAAGCTTTTCCAGATAAGCACCTGACTGTTATTAAAAGAAGAAGAAAAAAAACAGACTGTATGGCAATAACCTGAACAATGCATTAGTCATTTAGTGAACATTAAGCTTTCATGCCACGAATACCAGTTTCCTGTGTAAAGCACATGCTCTCTCTTAGAGTAACTATTTGCTTAAAGGATATCCAGCTAACAAAGGATATTGCTTCCATGGTGACAAAAGTAGTTTAGATATAAACAATTAACATTTCCCCTTTTCTGTTTCTCTTGCCATGTGATAGACACGTCTAGACAGTCATTTTAGTTGCGTTAAGATTTTATACAGAATAGAAATGCATGCTGATACACATTTGAAAGTTTTATTTTTTAAATATATTAAATCCAGTTTGAATGCAGTCTTTTCTTTTTAAAAAGAAAGCACTAATGTTTACAAAAGTAATACAAGAGAAGGCTGAAAAAAGTAAATTTTTCAAACAGAGTAGATATTCGGATATAAAAAACAAGTTCATGTTAAAAAAAACAGAATAAAATACAAGTTGCTCATAATTGCACTAACAAGACTACGTAAGAATATTGGTCATCGCTCTCTACCCCTGAGTGTTAGTAACCCTATACATTAGTAATTATAAGGTAATGACATTGATCTACAGAGACAAGGTTTCACACAGTGACTCTCAGGAATGAATACAAACACATTTCAATGAGTAATAAATTCATAAAAGTGGTTTGGGAATGCTGATTATTGGTCTATTAAAAATAAAATTCATGAGAGAAACCGGTATATTACAGGCATTTCTGCAGAACTTAAAAGGAACACCAGTTAAGACAACCACTTTGGGCTGCAAGAAAGAGGGTAGAAAATATATATATGGAAGGGCTTATAGTGTCTTTTAATATCTTACATAGGTAAGCATCCATATTTCTAAACACAGATGCTTTAACTGAACAACAATCCTGTGAGACACTTCATGTAGACTTGGTCGCATGGGGCACCTGTCCCATTCACAGACAGCTTTGCAATGGAACTGCCAAGGTAATGTTTTTCACTCATAGGTGTGTGTCAGAAGCTCATACAACAGTCTGGATTATTCACTTAACTGTGATTTACTGTCATTGCATTGTTCTGGGTCATCTTTTATCTGGTCTCTTTAAAAGAAACATGTGCAAAGGCTCAACCCCCTTCCAGAACACACACACACACACACACAGTAGTCATAACACTAGCACAAGGCTAGGAATGTAAAACAGAGTCCCATTTACAAGTTTTACAGACTGGCCTTTATCCCCTTCTGCTGTTTGTTGCTGTAAAAAACTTGTGATGAAAGTGCATGTAATAAAACCTGGCCCAGTGCTTCAGATATTGAAAAATGAGTTACAGTTTTGCCCAAATGCACAATCTACAGTTGCAGAAAAATGTACATTCCCCCTCGCTTTGATTTTCCATCAACCCTTAGAATCCAATTCCTGTTTTTCTAAGGCACATACTGTACCTTACCCGCTGTATTATTACATGATATCTCAGTCAATGCAATGACACAAAAGAGGTAAAGGTTTCCTGTCTATTTTCACCAGCAATGCTACAAATGTATCCAGTAGAAGACATTTAAAGACTTCCCAACAGCAGTCGCGGCTTGGTCACAGCTCAAGGGAATGACATTTCAAAAAAACAGCCCCGTGATGCCCCAAAATGGCAATCAGTGAGAACGTGAAAACGACATCACGTCACAACTCAAGTCAGCGTTATGGCTAAAAATAGTGGACCTAAACAAACGGCTATGTCTGTGAGCAAATGTAACATACGGTACACATGAAAGATGCTGGACCCAACATAAAAATAGCTGAGATATTCAGTGGTCTCAAGTGGGCAGTGGAATGTTCTGTTCTGGACTGTCGACAGTATGGTGGGAAAAATTCACTAAGGTGTCATGGAGACTTAAAAAAATGCAACAATTAGCAGGAAATCAACTTAACACCCTTTAATTATCTTGTTCTGCTTTTCTTTCCGCTCTCACAGTTTCCCCACCTGATCATATATCCAGAAATGGTCAGCAGCCCTAGCAGAATATTAGCTTCCTTTTTCCCAGTGCACCATCCTGATTTAGTAAGTTGTACCTCTTATCAGCACTCTCCCTATTCTGCCCTATCCAGTCTTTATTTCAGCTACAATCCAGTCATCTCTTTATATCCGTCACCATAACAACCACAAATGTTCTGACAGATTTTCTGGCACTGCAGTGAGAGGTGAAGCCTCAGAGGGAGAGAGTGAGAGAAAAGAGACAGAGAGAGAGAGTCACCCACCCACCCAAAAATCGTGCACCAATAAATGTACACTATGTTCCCAGATCATGTGAGATGCTTGATTTCTAATACAACCTTGCAATCCTCTCCTGACTCATACATTCATTTATCTGTGCTCTGCACCGCCGCCAGACATGCAGATCAGATCACACTGAAGCTATTATAAAGCAGACATCACAAACAAATTGGTCAGCACAACCTAATATAGACAGGACATTGTAAAATTTGCATGTCAGTAGCTAACATCAGTCACATTAGCCCATTGTCAATCAAAAAGACAAAGTAATCATAAGTGGATCATTAATAAATTTGATAAGGGTAACACCTCTCTCCGCCTTTCACCATTCAAGTGCTGGTGCTGTAACTCCTTCTGTTTACTGTGCTGACAACAGGAAAGATGGTTGCAGTACAGCAGCAGTTGCATTGTCATGTAGTGGTCTGAACATGGCTGAGCTGCTGCTTATGTCCACAGCCCTACAGGAGCCATGCCTTCTTTAGTGTTCCGTGGAGGCAGCAAGTTTTCCCTACACAGAAACTTTAAGGGGAAATGGACCAGCACTCCTCGGATGGCCTTTAGTTCCTCTTTGGCCTGCTCGGGGTCTGTGTCACAGAGGCGAGCCACATTTAAATAGTCCCTCAGGGCTTGCATGCTATGGACACTGTTGCAGGGCAGGCACTTGAACACCTGTCATACAGTAGGGCCACAGAGCCAAGAAGAACAAAGAGCGGTGAGAGAAGTGAAAATGCATATTGATACAATTAGATATATATATATATATATAAAAAGGTTTTGGGGTCAATTCACACCTTGTCATAAATGTTAACATTCGTTTTAGCAGTGTCATTCCAAACCAAGAAGAAGAACTCATCACTGATTGGATCGTCAATATTTATACTGGGGTCTGAAGCAGCTCCAACAAGAACCCTGGTATAGCAAAGAAAAGGCCAAAAATATTCAAATAACAGAAAAAAATATGGTTAAGTAATGACAAAACTGCACAGGTTTCCCATGCAGGATCAAATATTTTTGCTTGTCTGTGTGTAAAAAGAAGCCCATATACTTAGAGGTCTCACTCTCACATTTGTATCTTGTAGCAAAACTACATTAGACTATAAGTTGCTAATAAGTCATCAAGAGGCTTTTGCCCTGACCTGAAGCACTCTTTGCGTAGAGCAAGTGTCAGTGGTCCTGCCTGGTATTCCTCCCCTCCCATGATGGATGGGACCCTCTCTTCATCTTCCACAAATACTGCCAACTCACTGTCTCGGGAGCCCAGCATGCTACGGTCATTAATGTTGGCTGATCCTGGAGCAAAAACGGACAGTACAAGCATTTACAGTGTGTCCATTCAGAAGCATGATTCATGTAAAAAAATAAA